TACCTGACCATTTTCAAGAGGGGAAAACCTTGAATTTTGAAGAACTTAAAAAGTCATTTAAAAGACATTTCAGAAGTCAGTGAAGGTCATTTCCCGAATTCTAGAAATCGAAATTTTCCGGGGGAACTCGGACCCCTTTTTTCTTTGGGGTTCATTGGTTCTATTGAATCATTTTCAAGAGGGGGGAAACCTTGATTTTTGGAGAAATTAAAAGTAAATAAAGACACCTCATAAGTCGGGAAAGGTCATTTCCCGCTTCTAGGAATAAAAATTTTCCCGGGGGAGAACCCCCGACCCCCTTTCTTTTTGGGATTGGGAAAAAATTACCTGACCGTTTTGAAGAACTTAAATTAAAATCGCTATAAGATACGGTACTTCAGAAGTCGGGAAAGCTCATTTCCCACCATTTAGAAATTAACATTTTCCCGAGAAGAACCCGAACCTCCCTTTTCTCTTTGGGTTCATTGATTCATTATAATAATTTTCAAGAGGGGAAAACCTTGATTTTTGAAGAACTTAAAGTAGTTAAAAGACACCTCTCAGAAGTCGGGAAAGCTCATTTCCCGCCTTCTAGGAATCAAAATTTTCCCTGTGGAGAACCCCCGGACCCCCCTTTCTTTTTTGGTATTTGTGGATTCATGGAAAATATCGTATGCAACTACTCATTTTTTTTATGTATGTATACATATATAAGGCTTATCTACTGTAGTATCAATGCGATAAATTTACCTGACCGTTTTCAAGAGGGGAAAACCTTGAATTTTAAAGAACTTAAAAGTAATTAAGACACCTCAGAAGTCGGGAAAACTCATTTCCCGCCTTCTAAGAATCAAAATTTTTCCGGGGGAGAACCCCCGGACCACCCCTTTCTTTTTTGGTATTTGTGGATTCATGGAAAATATCGTATGCAACTACTCATTTTTTTTTATGTATGTATACATACATAAGGCTTATCTACTGTAGTATCAATGCGATAAATTTACCTGACTGTTTTCAAGAGGAGAAAACCTTTAATTTTAAAGAACTTTTAAAATTTTAAAAGACACCTCGGAAGTCGGGAAGACTCATTTCCCCCCTATTTTTTGGATACCTTGAATTTTGAAGAACAAAGTCATTAGAACCCTAGCTTAAAAGTCGAGAAAGGTAATTTCCCGCCATCTAGAAATCAAAATTTTCCCGGGGGAGAACCCCCGGATCCCCTTTCCTTTTTGGGAAAGATGTTGACCCCCATCCCCTAGGTTTTTCCAGATCTGCATGATTCATATTCCCATTCACCTTATAAGTGGGCCCCCCACTTTGAAAAACGTTCCGCCGGCCCTGGTATAGAATGCCAATAGAGTTTCCAAATTACTGTCATAGTACAGTAAATGTAATGTATAGTACAGTATGCAGTACACCATATAGAATAGAAATAACTCTCTCCATTTAATTACATTGTATATTTTAATACACAATATGGAACATGCTACCTTAAATTTTCTCTGATTTGTTTTGCTGTTGGTCTTTCATGGTAATCCTTCTCAAGCATTTTATTGATAAGCTTTCTCATGAAGTCTTTAATAGTTGATGGTAACTCAAACTTGTACCCTGGTTGTTTGTTCATTTGAATTCCAATCATTTTTGTCTCAACTTGTTTTTTTAAGTTTTCGTCTGAAATACTGCAAAATAGCAGGCCCATGCTGAAAATGTCCGCCTGTGAATTATATTGGCCTTCAGGCATAGGCTTAGCACCCATATTAGATAATTTTAGTACCTCTGGAGCCATGTATTCATATGTGCCATTCAATGAATTCATGTACAATTTCTCCACAGTAGCCTCTGAATTAAAAACCTTAGCAATTCCAAAATCAGCAATCTTGGCAACACATTGGCTGTCGATTAAAATGTTGGCTGGCTTCAGATCTCGATGTACAATCTTGAGACCATGAAGATATGCTACGCCATTCGCTATGTCTTTGATGAATCCCATACGCTTATTTTTATCCGGGCGATTTTTTTTTAAGAAATTGTCTATAGAACCATATTCACAGTATTCCAAGACGATGTTATGAGCAATGCCATCATAGAAGTTATTGATGTACCCCACAACATTCCTATGTGCACTGATTTTGAGAGATTCGATCTCATTCGTAACAGAAGGAATTCCTTGGAGTGACATGTCAATTCTCTTTAAGGCAAATATCTCTTCTTCTTTCACAACCTTATATACAACACCATATGCACCGCTGCCCAGTTTTTCTAATACTTTGTAGTCATTCACAACCTCACCAGGTAATAACTTTGATTCCTTGCTTTCAGTTCTTCCATTGCTTTCAGTTCTTCCATTGCTTTCAGTTCTTCCATTGCCTAATAACCAGTTGAAATGATTCCCCATATTTTTTCCAGATCTCTTTGGGTATCTATTTCAGGAAGTGAAAGTGAACAATAATCAGTAAAAAATCAAAAGAAATCTTAGAAATTCAGCCTGCTTGTTTAAGCCTATTGAGATGGAGGCCTACTTAAGTATGCCCAACCCCGCAGAAAAACTGTGGACAGTGGACAAAATCAGCCCACTGTGGCTGCTTACGTTATTCTTTGACTAGATATTCTTTGACTTTTTTGGCCTGCTGTATTGTACAGACTGCAGGTGATGCAGGCGAGAAATATATATATATATATATATATATATATATATATATA